GGAGGTGGACATTGGTCACCTGTGATCTGACTTGCTGAAGGGTACATAGAGGTGGACATTGGTCACCTGTGAGCAGACTTGCTGAAGAGTACATAGAGGTGGACATTGGTCACCTGTGATCTGACTTGCTGAAGGGTACATAGAGTCACACCTGTGATCTGACTTGCTGAAGGGTGCATAGAGGTCAACATTGGTCACCTGTGAGCAGACTTGCTGAAGAGTACATAGGTGGACATTGGTCACCTGTGATCTGACTTGCTGAAGGGGGTACATAGGTGGACATTGGTCACCTGTGAGCAGACTTGCTGAAGGGTGCATAGGTGGACATTGGTCACCTGTGATCTGACTTGCTGAAAGGTACATAGGGTGGACATTGGTCACCTGTGATCTGACTTGCTGAAAGGTACATAGAGGTGGACATTGGTCATCTGTGAGCAGACTTGCTGAAGAGTGCATAGAGATGGAGGTCACCCTAATGGTCATTGGTCACCTGTGATCTGACTTGCTGAAGGGTACATAGGGTGGACATTGGTCACCTGTGATCTGACTTGCTGAAGGGTACATAGGTGGACATTGGTCACCTGTGAGCAGACTTGCTGAAGGGTACATAGGGTGGACATTGGTCACCTGTGATCTGACTTGCTGAAGGGTGCATAGGTGGACATTGGTCACCTGTGAGCAGACTTGCTGAAGGGTGCATAGAGGTGGACATTGGTCACCTGTGATCAGACTTGCTGAAAAGGGTACATAGGTGGACATTGGTCACCTGTGATCAGACTTGCTGAAGGGTACATAGAGTGGACATTGGTCACCTGTGATCTGACTTGCTGAAGGGTACATAGGTGGACATTGGTCACCTGTGAGCAGACTTGCTGAAGGGTGCATAGAGGTGGACATTGGTCACCTGTGATCTGACTTGCTGAAGGGTACATAGGTGGACATTGGTCACCTGTGATCTGACTTGCTGAAGGGTACATAGAGGTGGTCATTGGTCACCTGTGATCTGACTTGCTGAAGGGTACATAGGTGGACATTGGTCACCTGTGATCAGACTTGCTGAAGGGTACATAGAGGTGGACATTGGTCACCTGTGATCTGACTTGCTGAAGGGTACATAGAGGTGGACATTGGTCACCTGTGAGCTGACTTGCTGAAGGGTACATAGAGGTGGACATTGGTCACCTGTGATCTGACTTGCTGAAGAGTACATAGAGGTGGACATTGGTCACCTGTGAGCAGACTTGCTGAAGAGTACATGGAGGTGGACATTGGTCACCTGTGAGCAGACTTGCTGAAGGGTACATAGAGGTGGACATTGGTCACCTGTGATCTGACTTGCTGAAGAAGAGTACATTGGTCACCTGTGATCTGACTTGCTGAAGTCAGGTGGACATTGGTCACCTGTGAGCAGACTTGCTGAAGGGTACATAGAGGTGGACATTGGTCACCTGTGATCTGACTTGCTGAAGAGTACATAGAGGTGGACATTGGTCACCTGTGAGCAGACTTGCTGAAGAGTACATAGAGATGGACATTGGTCACCTGTGATCTGACTTGCTGAAGAGTACATAGAGATGGACATTGGTCACCTGTGATCTGACTTGTTGAAGGGTACATAGAGGTGGACATTGGTCATCTGTGAGCAGACTTGCTGAAAAGTACATAGAGAAGTTGACATTGGTCACCTATGATCTAATTTGCTAAAGGGTACATAGGTGGACATTGGTCACCTGTGAGCAGACTTGCTGAAGGGTGCATAGAGGTGGACATTGGTCACCTGTGAGCAGACTTGCTGAAGAGTACACAGAGGTCAACATTGATCACCTGTGAGCAGACTTGCTGAAGGGTACATAGAGGTGGACATTGGTCACCTGTGATCTGATTTGCTAAAGGGTACATAGGTGGACATTGGTCACCTGTGAGCAGATTTGCTGATGGGTGCATAGGTGGACATTGGTCACCTGTCACCTGAAGGGTACATAGACATTGGTCACCTGAGCAGACTTGCTGAAGGGTACAAGAGGTTGGTCACCTGTGATACTTGCTGAAGGGTGCATAGGTGTGGACATTGGTCACCTGTGATCAGACTTGCTGAAGGGTACATAGGTGGACATTGGTCACCTGTGATCTGACTTGCTGAAGGGTGCATAGGTGGACATTGGTCACCTGTGAGCAGACTTGCTGAAGGGTACATAGAGGTGGACATTGGTCACCTGTGATCTGATTTGCTGAAGGGTACATAGGTGGACATTGGTAACCTGTTAGCAGACTTGCTGAAGGGTACATAGGTGGACATTGGTCACCTGTGATCTGATTTGCTGAAAGGTGCATAGGTGGACATTGGTCACCTGTGATCTGACTTGCTGAAGGGTACATAGGTGGACATTGGTCACCTGTGAGCAGACTTGCTGAAGGGTACATAGAGGTGGACATTGGTCACCTGTGATCTGACTTGCTGAAGGGTGCATAGGTGGACATTGGTCACCTGTGATCTGACTTGCTGAAGGGTACATAGGTGGACATTGGTCACCTGTGATCTGACTTGCTGAAGGGTACATAGAGGTGGACATTGGTCACCTGTGATCTGACTTGCTGAAGGGTGCATAGGTGGACATTGGTCACCTGTGATCAGACTTGCTGAAGGGTACATAGAGGTGGACATTGGTCACCTGTGATCAGACTTGCTGAAGGGTACATAGGTGGACATTGGTCACCTGTGATCAGACTTGCTGAAGGGTACATAGAGGTGGACATTGGTCACCTGTGATCTGACTTGCTGAAGGGTACATAGGTGGACATTGGTCACCTGTGATCAGACTTGCTGAAGGGTGCATAGAGGTGGACATTGGTCACCTGTGATCAGACTTGCTGAAGGGCACATGGAGGTGGACATTGGTCACCTGTGATCAGACTTGCTGAAGGGCACATGGAGGTCATTATGATTCAACTCTACATCTCATCCCCAGGTCCACAGCAACCCCCAACTCTTGAACCTCCTCTGCACTTGTTTCTGCCTGTCCCTTCAGCAATCTGCAATGGGCCACATTGACAACTATCCTCTCCCCTGACCTCTCATTGACCACCAGATCTCCACAAGTAAACAAGCTACACCACAAAAGCCACAAACACACAAATATTAACTCTCTGTCATCTGTGGACTGACTTGGAGTCCCTGTCCTTACAAGTTAACATTCCAAACTATTAGCTCTCGACAGAACCAAACACATCCAAATAAACACATGCTGTAAATAATTGTCCTCTATTTCCATCACAAACACGTGAATAAATATTTACAACTCTATCTATAGTTATCTGCATTTTCTATTTCAAATATGCTTTTACACCTCATTTTAATGTATGAGTTTGTTATTGGTGCCACCCAAAACAAACTGTTTGACATGCCTATTTTATAATCTTGTAATATCCAAACAGCCCAGTTCACAGCAGATGTATGTGCAGAGAGTTCCCATGTGAAATGTTGCCAGTATTAACTACATAGAGGATTAAGACCAAGATAAGATCAAGGCATTCTGCACATTTCTAATTATGAACCCATTATGAACTCAAACAACTCTGAACAGAATAGTCCTGCCCTAAAACTTCTGCAAGGCAGTATGATTCCTCATAGTGACATATGTTATTGTTACTATCAGACTTACTGCAGTCGTGCTGTCTCTCCATACCCGTTACTATCAGACTTACTGCAGTCGTGCTGTCTCTCCATACCCGTTACTAACAGACTTACTGCAGTCGTGCTGTCTCTCCATACCTGTTACTATCAGACTTACTGCAGCCGTGCTGTCTCTCCATACCCGTTACTAACAGACTTACTGCAGTCGTGCTGTCTCTCCATACCTGTTACTATCAGAATATCTATCCATTACTTCGGGGTTATACAGTCTGATATTTGCTTCCCTTGTAGTAAGTGAGCACTGTCAAGTGTAAACAGTCTTAGAGAGCTGCAATACATTAAAGTGTACACACCAGATGTGTTTTCCTGAATAACCTGCATGTTTTATTATTGCAAGCTGGCAGCACCCTTGAAAAATGGCCATCATCAAAGCCAGAAAATCAGCCTGGGCTGTACTAAACAAAGCGCAAGGTATGACAGAACTAAAATATACATATCTAGTCCACCTGGGTTTGAGAACCTGAGGAGTCTTTCTTGCTTCTCTGTCACCTTCACAAACAATCTTCATCTTATAAAGTATCCCAGGATAGTTTCATGGAAAGGTGTCCTTAAGGGTTATGTCCTGTCTAGATATCAAGCACCAGTTGCTATGGGCAACACACTATGCCAGTCCCTGTTGCACTAGACTAGCCCAGTCTGACCAGCTGGAGTGTTGATGACTATCCTGCCATGTCGCCATCAGATAACAGACGTAAACAGACCTGTTTATCTGATTGAGCCTGTAGTGAACATGGTGAGGTATTTCAGTACAGCGCTAGGAGCCAGTTGACTGGCAGTGAGGTGTTATCTTGCAATGAATGTCAGAACACCCTTGTTCTTCACGGTTCAGCTTGACATGTTCTCTGCTCCTGACATTTTATGGATGTCCTGTTCCAGTCTGTACAAGCAATCTCCAACGCCACCTTTTCTAGGACTGAAACCCCACCACAGTTATGGCCAACACTAATCAACATTAACTCGATCAGTTAAGAAACAGCTTTCAGCATTTGCACAAGGATGGTTTAAGAAAATCACAGAAATATTGGGCAATATTTTCTTGTATAACTATGACCAACATGGGACATTTTGCCATGTGTTGCTGTGCCTGGTATGCCCAGCCAATGTTTACCATTGAGCATGGGGAAATGTCAACACTGCTGGGCCTGTGTGCACTCTTCCTCTGTCCATGCACACCGTGACTACACCCAACCATCCTCACCTCAATACTTCCCCATCTCCCTACCATAAAACTTTATAGTACAATACTGTAGAAGTGAAGCTTGTTATTCAGTTTCATATACATGGACTTAACGCCTTTGTTTATTTTCAGATCTCTGCTGTAGCAAGGTGAGGACAGAGATCATCACATTCCATGGCCATGTGCCTGCAGTGTACCCCTTTCCAGATCCCTGTAGGATTATATATTGGTCATAATGTCAAACAGTTGAAGCACAAAGAAATTTCCACTTTGTACAGACTCCACTTTTTGTCAACTTCATTGCCATTAATTCTGAAAAGGGGAATTCTGTATTTACAATTGATATTCTACAAAACCTACAATGTACATAGTTACATTTTACTGAGGGTAAAGAAGGCCGTCAAGAGAGAACAAACACTATTGTAAAACCAGGCGTATTCCGGGAAAATGATGATCCACCACTTTGTCAATGTTCATTGTTACATTAATGGTGAGGTGAATTAATAGTCTCCTGAAATTTGATATTTATGTTTTGAACATCTGTTTAAAGACTCCTAATATTAAGTTGAAACTGATTGTAGGGAATTGAAGTGTTCTATTTTTAAACACAGAAATTGTTACTGGATAATCATAGATACCATGTCATTATGTGTCAACGCACAATGTGAGTTTAATGCATTGGTGACAACTTGTAAATTACCGGTAGTTGAGAGATTATCAGTAAACCTGCCTGATTTACGGTAGTTCCCTCCACTCCCCCACTGTATGTGCATGCTGTACCTTCACCTCCATCCCACAAACAGACTTGTCAGGTGTACATTCTCTCTCAACTACTCACATGTCACAACAACCTGAACACTTCTTTCAATCAAAATGTCATCAGCCTCCTCATTCTGTTCCTTGTGATGTTATTAGCCCTGTGCACATAAGATCCTGTGTACATTTCACAGGTCCAAGTGGTTAATTGGTTAACAAGGCCATGATGTGTGTGGAATCAGATGTCAATGGCAATGTCCATCTCAGGGTAATAGGATCTCTTGCTCATGTTAATTGAACCTGTCAGACAAAAGGTTTGTAGGTGTACAGATACAGCGCACTAACCAAGCATTTATCATTCATGTTATTTTAGTTTCATATGCAAAAAAATAACATAAATCAACCTTGAAGATTGTTTTCTTTGGTATTTTATCGCTCTATTGATATCCTTATTTCTTGTGGATGTGGCAAGGGTTTTTTTGCTTTTATTTACACATGTTAGAACAACCTAGGGCATGGATGAATGCATGTCTGGCACTTGCATGGCAGCTGATTATAACAGCATGTGTCTTTGTAGCTAACGGAATGAATAGCAAAACAAACCTGAGACCTGTACTTATTTACAAACAGAAACAACCGACAATTAACACCTTACTTAAACATATTAACAAATCATTTGCTACTTAACTTCAAAACTAAGCATGAGGGTGAAGTGGAACACAGAAGCTGATGAACTGCCAATTCCTCCATGCCTACAACTCTGTATCACGTTATATGACAATACCTGATATATAATATTTTATTTAACTGATGAAAGCATACCCCTATCCAAAACTACTTAAAGATCACACATACTCTAGGGGGGTACAAATACATAAATCACTAATTGGCCTCGCTATAAATGAAACTCCGTCATTAAAACTACTCATTTCGATCTTTAATTAACTTAAATCGACCTTTTTGACAACAGTGCACAATTCTCACCCGCGAACGAAATTTCAACCAATCAGAGCGGCGCGTCTCTGTGACGTCATATGAGGAATAGATATGAGGGCCGATGCAGAATTCATGTACATTTCAGGGGGTAAATTATCTTGTTTACAGGTTTGCATAAACCTGAAATCGTGACAACTGTTGTGAAAAATGAAAGCTATATGTTTTCACAATCTACTGTCATTTAATTTTGTCTCCTGCTTTGCCTAGTTTCCGAGTTACAACTTGTTTTCATAGACCATTCTGTCAAAATCTCTTGGTGTCGCTAGGCCTTATTTGTTAGAGCCAGACGCTAGTGATAGCGAAAATGATGACCAGCCTCGCTCATCACGTTAATTTCTTCAACCTAAACAGTGCGACATTAGGAAGGGTATAATAAGTGGTAACACCACTTAGATTACCCGACAAAGGTTCCCATTTGGCATTTCTTGTGTCTGGAGTAAATACTCAACATTATAAACATCGATCAAAGGATTAACCGATAACACGCTGATTGATTAATTACTTTTATCTTACACAGCGGATTTGTCAAAAGGTAGTGTTTATGTATGTAGATTTACTAATCTATACTGAATACACTCTGTCGCGTGTCTGTGTCTGCGTAAAAACAACGTCCTTCTTTCAAAGGATTAACCGCCAATACATTGATTAATTGCTCATTATTGGCTAACTAAATTACTTTTTTTAAAGAATGGCGGACATTATGCAAATAGTTGCCAAGTGTGCTATCTTGGGTGACCAATGAGACTATACACCAAATGTGAAATTACTGAAACGATATATCACTTTTTCGTATATTAGACTGTTAAAAGACACATCACTTGGAACAGCTGCAGATGAATGGCATATCACTCGTTTTTGTGGATATTGATGGATACATTCCTCGAACAAGGTAATAGCCTGACATTGTTCCTATAACTTTAATCTGTTTTAAGTTTAATATTTGCATTTTGTTTTCATTTGTTTGTAGCATTCAACAGAATCATTGTTTTCACCATAAAGTGTAATGAGACAGACAACATACACTAGGGCGTGTGTGCGAATTACGAAATGTCTAGATATTACAGTCCTGTTATAAATTAACCATAAGTATCAGCAGATTGTCTGCTTTTTATTTAGCTTCAAAATGCATACAAGTATGATAATAAACTAATTAGGATTATAAGACCAAATATAAAGACGTACATTGACTAGTATCTACATACTGGTGAGTGGACGTTAACCACGTGAATGTAGCAAGAAATTTATCGTGCAGTATTGTCACTTCGACCCCCACCTCACTTTCGTGGAAGAAATCGTTATGTTATAAATTGTCATGTAAAATCCTTTTGGTCATGATTCAAATACATATTTAACTACGAGTAGAAAGTAGTTTTGATTTTCTAACTTGATGAACACAAACCATAATCTCATTAATTCTAACAGACTTTAGCCCGTCACTTTACGATTTTCAAAAATGGCGGCGCCCTGTCGCGAACATCCGCCAGTCTGAAGATAAATGCTATTTAGGTTTGTTTTCACCGAGTTACAAAATCAAAACTACTTTCTACTGGTAGTCAAATATGTATTTGATTGATGGTCAATAGGATTTTGCATGACATAGCTTATAACATAACAATTTCTATCGTGGAAGCAAGGTGGGTGTCAATATAATACTACTTACAATATTATTGTTATTTCGACCACAACCTCGCTTCTGAGGAAGAAATCGTTATGTTACAAGTTGTGTCATGGAAAATCTTTATGGTCATCAATCATATACATATTTTACTACAACTAGTAAGTAGTTTTGATTCTTTAACTCCCGTGAAGCGATCTGAACACAAGATATCGTTTCAGGCTTCCACAACGCTCGCTTTGCACTCACAAACATAACCCATTTAGCACGAACTGCGGGGTCCTGTGGAAATCTGTGCATGCTGACACAATCGCCCGACCCCTAGGAGCAATTGACGACAACGCAACAATTCGGCATGTCTTCGTTGATGTCGAGAAATCATCAAAATGACAAGCTTGCTACACACTTTATATACAACTAACTGAAAATCGTTCCTCATATGACATCACTGCAGTGCTCTGGCGACAGAATTACATAACCTGTCTGTGGTTTCGTTGGCGGGCGAGAGTGTAGCAGGCGACTTTTTGGCAACTTTTGATCGCTCGGTATTACTTAACCACAATTTTTTTAAGAATGAAGATGGTGTTCTGCATAAGACTAACCACAAATCTTTCATATGTAATAGTTAAAAGAGTACAAAAAAACAAAGTTTATTTGTTCTTTAAATGGGAGCTTGAAAAATTCTAGTATTTGGGCTTTGTACTACTTATGGGGATGGTCTAGAACAGCTAACAAGAAAGTAACAGTCTGTCACCAGTCTCTCACTGAAATACACAAGCATTTGTGGTCCTTGTGATGAAATTCCATGTCATGACCAGCATATCATGATGAAACACAACAAATGTGTGGACAGTACTGGCCCTCTATCTTCTGCATGTCTGGGATGACAACAAGAGGACAGTCCCACTCACCTGGCTGAAGGTGACAAATGGTTCCAGGAAGTTGTAGCATGGTATCAACCACTATTTGGCCCATCCATTCCATCATGAAAACTACAGTTTGGAGTTATAAATGACATAATATGAAGATATACATTATAAAACTTACCTACACACAATGTGTTTTCTCCCTAAAACTCCTCCTTTTTCTGCCTGGTCATTACATGGACACTATAAGCAATGTAGTCCACACACAGGCTACATCTACATGGTTATGTAGTTCCTGAAACTTGTATGAAATCCAGCCATCCTAGCACCCCCCAACCAGCCAGCAAAACACCGACCACACTGTAGATACGCAGGAATTCCAGCCTTTGTCTGATAGAACCCACTGTACCCTTTGCCGTGTATCCAGGATCACTATATACATGTCAATTTGATGTAGGTCTACACAGCAGGGTGAGGGTTTAGGGGATGCATACTTCACACACCTCAGGGCAGAGAGGTCATATGCAGCTATGGCTTTCAGTGTCCTTAAAGAAGCATATGTTGATTTCTATCTGACTTTTAGATAAAGAATGTAAGAGCAAAGATGCAGATAATTTACACACCACACAGAGATATTTTCAACAATCCATGTGTCAAATGTGTTGACATTAAGGGGAAAAATAGCAACCTTAATAAGCTTATATAGAACTGGAAAAAAGTCTGTCAACTGTCATTCAAGCCCTTGAAATCTCTTGTTTATAAATTTGTAATATATCTAGCAAATGTGCATTCTCCCTGGATTATTTTAATCATAATAGAGAATTTATTTTTTTTCATTTTTTAAAGTTATGCTTTATTATTCCAGGTAATAATAAAAACTGTGCCAGGCAAACAAATTTCTTAAAAGACAACATTCTTTTCTAAGGATCTATACAATAAATGCATTCAACTGATTCTGAACTTTGTGATCTCCACATAGTAATGTGGTTGGCATGACATTGCTGCTGGACTACAGCATGGCTAGAGTGCTACCC